ATTTTATAATAGTTTTAAGTGTTTGCACGAAATAAGCTTCGACGCTAGAAGTGCCTTGTTTTTTTAGTTTATTATGAAAAGTTGTATTGTTTTTGTGGATTAATAAGTTTTTTTGTTCCTATTAGTTAAGGGGTTATATACAGTTGTGATATATGAAAAAATCGATTTTTTTTTTTTGCATATTCTTAAAGTATATTCTATTGGGAATACTTTCACAAAAATGCATAATGATCGGAGCATTAGAACCGAAGCTGTAGCTATTTATAGCGCACTATCTGCATATAAAACTTGAACAAACTTGAAACTTTAAACGCGATTATCTCAGAATCTTTTTTTGGGAAGTTACCTTTGCGGTGGACACGATTACTAAAAAATACTAATCCGATCAACACCAAATTTTGACCACTTATTTATTATGATATTAGCTAGTCCGTGAACGAGGGATTTTCCATTTTTTGAAAACTCCTTTTTAAAGAACAAAAACGAAAATCTTATACCCTGAAAAAGTACATTTTTTGTTAAAAACGTCGCCATTTTTTTTTGAATCAAAATTTTTAAAAATCCCTCGTTCACGGACTAGACAATACAATATACTAACTAAACTTTTTTGAATTTTTGATTTCGGATGAACCGTTTTCGAGAAATCGAGAAAGACGATTCGGGAATTCGGCTATAACATTTTGGTTATGTAATATTTTTTTATGAAAAAATTTAATTAGGTACCCAGAAACATGTACTAAACAACGTCGGTAAAACATTTTTCATAAATATTTTTTATGGTGTCAAAAAAAAATCGATAAAATTCCATATTCTTGCGCGGTACAACTGTATATAACCCCTTAATAAAGAGTTTATTTAAATTACTGCGTTTAAATTTTTTTGATATCTTTCAAAAAATTCTTTTCCAAGAATCACTCCCTTATATTATATATAATAATGAATATATATGTAGTTTTGTTTCTTTTATTTAACACTTTTACACTTTATTTGCGGACCGGCGATGCGGGTGCATCGGCCGTACGTGTTAAACTTCAAGAACATAATTAAGAGAGTAAATGAATCAATCGTTGACTTCGGCTCTGACGTCGCTGCTACCTCCATCGCCCTCGCTCTTCGCTACCGGTTCCTACAATCACCACCCTTGAGATCAACTCTGGTGACCCCCTTTCCCCACGACCGCTAAGACATTAGCTGAGTTCAGATAATCAAAGTTTAGTTAACTTTCATGATTCAAGGTTTTGACAAGGTTTTATGTTCAAGATAAACTTAAATTCTAACATATTGATTAGAGAGGCAAAAATTGTTCAAAATTAAATTGTAAAATTAAGTATATACGGTAAAAAGTATTGGTAAATAAAATTGGTTCATATGTAATTAGTACTAAAGATATTAAAACCAAATGTACACTGACGAGCAAAACTGTAACACGAGTTCAATGTTTCAACTTCAAAGGTCTGTAACTTTTTTTCTAATGCACGCATTTTGAAGATCTTAGTCTTGTTTTGTAGGTTATATAATTTACTACTATTTAGTAAAACTTGGACCCATTTGATACCAGTTAAAGAAAATGACACGCCAAACTGTAAAAATAGTCAAACGTTACAGTTTTGCACTCACAATGGAAAAGCTTTGGTTTTTAGTTCTAATGCTTAGTTAACCGTTAAAGTTTATTTGTTTACATTTTATTCGCTGAGCTTTGATATTTTAAAGCCACATGGTAAATTAATTTGTAATGGATAGTTAAAAAAAAAAAAAAAATTCTTGATTTACTGGAAGCTGGTGAATCTGTTCGTAAAGTGGCTATTAAATTCGGTGTTAGCCATATGACGGAGCAGCGACTCAAAAAAGACAGCTCAGGAATCATTCCAATCAATCCAGGAGGTCCCCCCAAAATTTTGAATGAACGTGAGACACGCCATGTCGCTAACTTGGTAACAAGCAATCCAGAAATCACACCAATAAAAGCGGCTTCAATGCTTAATTTGAATGCCAGTGCCTGGACAGTTCGCCGAAGTCTCAACAAATTGGGTCTTAAAGCATAGTACTGAGTTGACGAAAATCCGCTGTCCAACGAGTGACAGCTGTCAAACTCCATATAAAAAAAACGGTGTAAAAAAGGAAAGAAGAAGAAATTTTTGCCTTATAGATTTTAGGATCAAAAAAAATAAACAGCTGCTCCCGGGGTGTTAAAAAAAATATTTGAATTTATTTTTATAGGTGTGACATGGAGGGTCAATTGACCAACAAAAAAATAGTCGGCCCGAAAAATTTTCGACGCACCAGGACAAATTAAAATTAATTTCTGCGGTCAAGACGAAGCCCATAATATGGGATTTGACCCACAAGGGGCATTTTAATGCCATTAAATGGCATTGAAATGATTTGTAATTGATTTGGATTTTGATTTTGACCCAGTTTTCTATTTCTTAATCAGCTCCTTAGCGGCGAAATACATAAACAAAACACCAACATCCAATCGTTTTGAATTCATTTTTGCTTATTTGTTTTTTGTTTACAAACAACAGCTGTTCAGTATTACCTTATTTCTTCATTGTTTTGGTCACACTACCTCGGCAGCCGAATAAAGTGCAAAATCGCTATCAGAATTTCAACAGCGGATTTTCGTCAACTCAATACTATGCTTAAAGCTAAAGAAATGAAAAAAAACCATTTCTTACAAAAAGATACATAATGCTGCGCAAAAACTTTGCTGCAACATACACCAATTGGACAATAGCGGATTGGGATACTGTAAGTCATTCTACCAGTGTCTTAAAAAGCAAAAAATTCCAAAATATTTTTGTTTCCAAGGTTATATGGTCGGATGAAACAAAAATCAATCGTTTCGAGTCAGATGGTCGCTCTTGGTATTGGACTAGAGATCCTACGATCCAGTCACCAAGGAATGTGCGACAAACCGTCAAGCACGGTGGCGGTTCCATCATGGTTTGGGGATGCATTAACTCAAATGGAGTTGGTCCCTTGGTGCTAATCGATGGAATAATGCGTAAGGAGCAATATCTAGCCATTTTGCAAGAAAATCTTCCGAAGGTTATTGGAAATATGGGTCTTTCTGCCGAAAAATGCGTTTTTCAGCAAGACAACGACCCGAAGCACACGTCCATATTGGTCAAAAATTGGATTTCGAAACAGAAATTTCAATTTATGAAATGGCCACCACAATCTCCCGATATGAATCCAATAGAAAACTTGTGGAGCCATGTCAAATCGCAGCTGGCGAAATACGCAGTTCCTCCACATGGAATGAAGGAGTTGTGGGAGAGGACACAGGACGTATGGAATGCTATTCCACCGGAAATGGTGGAATATACCCAAAGTATGCCAAATCGCATAGAAGATCTGGAAAAGTCCAAGGGGATGTGGACTCATTATTAAATAATTATTAATAAAAATATTTGTTAAAAAATAACCAGAGTGCAAAACTGTAACATTTGACTATTTTTACAGTTTTGCGTGTCATTTTCTTTAACTGGTATCAAATGGGTCCAAGTTTTACTAAATAGTAGTAAATTATATAACCTACAAAACAAGTCTAAGATCTTCAAAATGCGTGCATTAGAAAAAAAGTTACAGACCTTTGAAGTTGAAATATTGAACTCGTGTTACAGTTTTGCTCGTCAGTGTATATAAAGGATATACATCCAACAATGTATTTTTAAGCATAGTACTGAGTTGACGAAAATCCGCTGTCCAACGAGTGACAGCTGTCAAACTCCACATAAAAAAAACGGTGTAAAAAAGGAAAGAAGAAGAAATTTTTGCCTTCTGGATTTTGCGGGTACTGAGTTGACGAAAATTTTTGTTATCGATTTTAATGGTGTTGCCGGATCAAAAAAATAAACAGCTGCTCTCGGGGTGTTAAAATAAATATTTCAATTTATTTTTATAGGTGTGACATGGAGGGTCAATTGACCAAACAAAAAAATAGTCGGCCCGAAACATTTTCGACGCGCCAGGACAAATTAAAATGAATATCTGCGGTCAAGACGAAGCCCATAATATGAGATTTGACCCACAAGGGGCATTTTTTTTTTTTTGTATTAAGTTACTTCCATCCAGGAAATTGGGGAAGATTTATTTGGCCGTCCCGAAGGGGCATTTTAATGCCATAAAATGGCATTGAAATGATTTGTGATTGATTTGGATTTTGATTTTGACCCAGTTTTCTATTTCTTAATCAGCTCCTTAGCGGCGAAATACATAAACAAAACACCAACATCCAATCGTTTTGAATTCATTTTTGCTTATTTGTTTTTTGTTTACAAACAACAGCTGTTCAGTATAACCTTATTTCTTAATTTTTTTGGTCACACTACCTCGGCAGCCGAATAAAGTGCAAAATCGCTATCAGAATTTCAACAGCGGATTTTCGTCAACTCAATACTATGCTTTACGGTCTGCAACGGTCTCTTTTACGGTCTCTCAGCATCCTTAAGCTGATATTTTAAAATTTAAAGCGTCAAGGCGGCGGCGAATTATTTTTCTTTTTACTTCATTATAAAGTGCATGTTTATTAAATTAAAGCAGTGGTCGGCACCCTAATACATTGATATGATTTTAATGCATTAGTATTAGTAACGAATAGCAGAAAGTACCCTTCAGTACCAAAAATTCCTTCCCCGACTTTTCCTGGCTACATGTTCGAAAAACAAAAACAAATTGCATGGGCTTCGTTTACTCAAGTCCGAAACGAAAGGGGAAACGAAACTTCTACCTGCTTTCGGTTTTCGACAATGATTCTCACAGCTTCTACGTCATATCAAATAGAGGTCTGCATGGATACATTCTTATTGCCTCAGCCATAGAATACATCCGAATGGAATAGAATGAATGAGTGGAAGAGACACAACGAATTGAGTGAGAGGGAGTGTGAGAGTGAGAGAGCATTCTCACTCATAAGCATTCTCTTGCTTTGAAACCGAGTGAGTGGGGGTGGGAAGCAAATAGAGTGCTTTCGGAATGCTGAATGCAACCGAATGTCTCGAATGGTTTTTAACACATTCTATGCATTCTTTTATATTCTTCAGTTGAGCAAAACGTGTAATCTCTATTTCATAATTATGAGTGAGGAACAAGTTGTTGACCCAAAGGTAAATACCCGTGTTAGGTGTGTTTATTCATGAATGTAGGAATATTCCACATATTATATGTTTTATGTTTATGTTAAGTGTTTTTATTAATTTCTTTTTGCATTTTCTTGTGTTTCTCTTGTCTTTTTATATTAGTTTTTCAGACTTTTTTGGCGGCAACATTTTGTTGGGAAAATACTAAAATTATAACATTAACTATATGGGCACAACGCTGCCAGTCTGATTACAAAATAAATAAATTATAACAAAATATAATAAAAAAAAACATTAAGTTAATATTTTATTTAAAATACGATTTCTGCAATGCACCCGATGTTGCTACCAACCTACATCATTGAGAAATATACGTATCTTTTCAAATTGCGTTGGTAGCTTAAAGGCTTAGATGTGGACTCCCAAAACCTAAGCACGAAGGTTCAGTTCCCAGTGGCGTCAATTCTTATAGAATTTTCAGCAAAATATTTTATCGACTTATTTTTTTTGCATTATTGCAAAAACTTTGTACTGCTTATTAAAATAAGTCATGAAAAAATAATAATTTTAATATAATAAATTTTTATAATAATATTAATTAAAGAAAAAAAAAGATTATTTGAAGATTTAATAATATAAAACTTAAATTGATTTTTGTCCCTGGCGATAGCTGCACCAATTAGGAACTGATGCGTTGTGATTTAGTTAGCGTGCTACCGTCATATATACCTTCTTCGTTACATGTATGTATGTGTGCGTACGTATTTATGTAATTTTTGAATTATTTTTTTTATTTATGATACTAAAGTTATAAGATATTACATAGGTTTTGATTGCTTCATCTGAAATAAAAGAAAAAATACTAAATGGAGACTACCAACTGGTAGAAAAAAGAGGGCGTAGTAATGTGTGGGAGTTTTTCGCCAAAATCAAAGACGAAAATGGAGAGGAAATTGACGGGTTTGTGGCATGCAAAATGTGCTACACCGTAATGAAATTTTCCGGCAGCACATCAAATATAGTGAAGCACAAATGCTACACAATCAATTCACACAAAGCCCAAAACGCAGCACTCGTGGAAGTGAATCCTGAAGTGAAACAGGAGGGTGTTGAAATTTTGACGGAATGGGCAATAAAAAACTGCCGATCCTTCAAAATCGTGGAGGATAGCGGTTTAAAAAAATTTGTGTCGTACATTTTAAAGGTTGGAGCAACGTTTGGGCCGAACGTTGATGTAGAAAAGCTACTTCCACATCCAACGACCATTTCGAGAAAAATTTCATCCATGTATGAGACACATTTCGGCCCAATTAAACAAGAAATAGTCACAAATAAATGTAATGGTTATGCCATAACGAGTGACATATGGACGGACAATTTTTTAAAAGCCGCATATATTTCATGCACAGTCCATTACATAAAGGATGGAGTTTTGATTGAGCGTTTGATGGCCATGAAGTCGATGAAGGATAATGCGTGCACAGGTTTGCTATTCAAGTAACTCTTAAATCCAAGATTCTTATTTTTCCCCTTATTTCATAGGTGCAAATATTTTGTTAAAAATGGATGAAATTTTAAGCGAGTTCGATTGCAATTTGGGAAATGATAAGCCAGTAATCGTTACTGATCGCGGGTCAAACATGATTGCTGCCTTCCGGGACCATAATAAAATCCACTGTATTAATCATATGCTAAATAATACAGTGGAAAAAGCCATTAAAGAAGTTCCTGAGATGGGCGAAATGGTGACAACCTGCAGCAAACTGGTTAAATTTTTTAAAAAATCGGGGAACAATTCGCTGTTAGGCTTCACTCTAAAAAGCTTCTGTCCAACTAGATGGAACACTGTGTTCTATTTGATTAAATCAATAGAAGCCAATTGGTTGGGCATAAGCAATATTTTAATTGAGAAAAATCAAATTGGAAGACTAGAAGGCCTTCACATAGGTGAACTTTCACCTGTAGCAAAAATTTTAGAGGTATTTGAAAACGTCTCAAAAAAACTTGAGGCTAGCAAACACCCTACTATACATTTGGTAATACCCAATATCAAAAAATCATGTTTGAGCGGCACAAACGACTCAAAAATAGGATAGTCCCTAAAGATTGCCCTTGAATATTTTGGCTGTGATAGAGCCGAATATTGAAATGTGGCACAAGATCGCTCTATTTTTGTTTCCGCCAACAAACAAATTAAAAAACTTCGAAGAAAGTGAAAAATTAAAAATAATTACTGAGTGTAAACTGATTATGGAAAGTTTTAAAGATTACACCAACATCGCAGAAGCCGAGTGGAAAGAGGAAGACGAATCCTCTATTAATGTCCCTTATGCAACCAATTTTGATTGCTTAGGTTGGTGGAATATGCATAAAAATTTCTTTCCACTATTGCATAAAACGAGCTCCAAAATATTTTGCATACCAGCAAGTAGCGCATCCTCCGAAAGAATATTTTCGGATGCAAGAAATTTAATAACCGAAAAACGTTGCATATTAGCAAATAATTCAGACAATGTAAATAAAATAATTTTTTACATTCCAATTTAAATTAGTTAGGGTATAGTAATTAAGAAATTATAGAATTATACAAATTAAATTTAATAATACATATATGTAAATTAAGCGAAATAATAATGAATTTAACCAAATCAATTTACAAGGACTTGCCTCCACTTTTCAATTATTTTTTTCAGCGTTTAAAAATACAGGCAAATATGCATAGTTGTATCGGACATTCTAGAATGCATTCGAAACAATTCGAATGCGAACTGCAACTCTAACTCATTCAATTCGGTTTTCATCCCCCAAATGTTGTGCGAGTAAGACCTACACAGTCGCACTCACTCATTCATTTTTTTCGTCTCAGCATTCTATCTCACTCAATTCAATTTCAAGGTTGTGCATTTGAATGTCGTTTTTTAGCTATTCATGCAGACCTCTAATATCAAACGAGTAATTTCTCACCCCACCTCAAATTTGGATATCAAATTTTGCCGTCGGCAACAACAATTTTCGTTTTGGTGAGCGACCGATAAGTCCGACACCATGAGTTATCGCCTAAGCTGCCTTACTTTTGATAGAATGAAACAGCAAGTTAAAAATACTTGTATAATCAAACGGATGGCGATAAATTTGGACAACATGAAAGTTGTCACCGTTCCCGATCAACGACGCAATTTTGTTGACCAGGGCACTCGAGCTTTTTTCCCTAATATAGATTGGAGGGGGCTTGGGTTTTTTTGCGGTGTCTTGGGCTGGTTGGTTTCCCTCAGGCTCCGCCAGTAGGGCAAATCTGTTAGTAGTGGATCTGTCTGGTTCTTTATCGATATTCAGGATACGGTTAATTTTTGTTTTGTTGCCTTCCGGATTACTCTGCGGGCTAAGCTTGCGCTTAATTTGGATGTAGCGATCCATTCCAGTCTGTGTGGCCGTTACCGCTTTGGCACTTTCCGAGGTTGTTGTTTTTGTACTCGCTGTAGTCGTTGACGTCGCGGTACTTTGAGTTGCAGAGGTTTTCGCTGTTGTTGCAGAAGTTGTAGCGCTGCTAGTTGTTGGTGCGAAATTTGTTTCCGATATTGGAGGGGGGGTTTTACACTGCGAACTCCATGACGCGGGAGTCGGAGTGAGCAGGGCGGGTGAGCAAGACCGTGCCCTTTGGGTTTCAACGGTCAGTAAAGCCGGGTTGCTTATAATCGCCGATTTTTCCACTTCGGTATCGCGGGTTGAAAAGTAAGAGTAGAATCCGTTTCTTTGGTTCACTGAACTTCTACGCTCGTTCTTTTGATCGTTGCTCAATGAGCTCATTTCGTGGCTTACTTTTTTTTTTTTTTTTTTAACAATGCACTAGTTTTGGTTTAGCACATCACAACTGTTATAAAAAGCTTGTCTGTCGCTTTTAGTAAATTGTAGTTTAGCGTCTTTTTGCTTATATTGGGTTACCCCAGTTTTTTTTTGGTTAGCTGTATTATGGTGCAGTTTTCCCAGAGCTCGGACAAAGCACGTCCGCTCAGTTCGGTAGTTCGTATGGAGGATATATCATACAATATTAAGATTTACTCACCTCTTTCATCCGCGACGAGCTGGTTGAAGCGCTCCCACTTGCTCGCGGCTGGCAAGCAATAATATTCCGGGAAAGCTTTCGCCAACCCGTTCACAAAATAAACTGTTTACGCAGCTAGTCTTTATTGAGAACGGAAACCTCCGATCACTAACTCCACACGTTCCTACGGGGCACCACGAGGCCACTAGATAGACCGACCTCGCTCCCTTCTCTGCGGCGGAGCGTTCCTTAAAAGCACCGCGAACACTCCGAGTCTAGCTCCCGAGTTAGGCTGCCTCGGACCACAACTAGCGGCTTCTCCAACAAAAACTGCTGTCCCTTCTGCTCTCGCTTCTACGGCGACTGCTCCGGCCAGGCTCTCTTAACGAAACCCTATGTCTCTCGGCGATTCCTCGCGGCCACGCCTCGTGGGCGGTCTTGCAATCTTGCGTCTTGCGGTCCCAATTTATGCCGTGGACTGATCCGCTGGGAGCCCCGCTCGACTCCAGCTTCTCTTTTACCAAAGGCCTGTACACCTTGCACCAGGCCCTCCGATCTGAAAAGCCAAAAGAATATATCAGGCCCGCTCGATCCTGACCTTACCTAACACACTCACCGCCACTGCGACTCGCGACATGCCTCACTTTGGCGCCGACCCCTGTGTATGCCAGCAAATTGTCGCTTTGGCCCCGCTCTTGTCACCTGTTGCTAAATTCCTTTACTCTCCTTTTTTACGCTCCTTTACTGGATGAACCTTCTTAAACCGCGCCAGAAAAGCAAAGAAAATGCGCCTCCCACGCGGATTCCTATGTCTAGCTTCCAATAACTGCTTTATCCCGATTGCCAGACCCCATAGGTTGCCATTTCCCCTCCCGGGGTTGCTACCTACACCGATCAACCGCCAACATTACAAGCGACTTTCCTAATTCAAAACATTGCTTAAATATCGTTTTTTAATTTTTCGAAATTTTTCCAAGAGGTTCGCCTACAAAATTGTGTTCTTAATTTCCTCACTTTTGGTCCTTCCGATGGCCATAGCTCTGCCAAATCAGGAAATCAAATACCATTTGGTAGTCAGCGAACCCAAAAGCGACTTTCCTGATTCAAAACATTGCTCAGGCAATTTCAATAATATTTCCATTTCTCCCAATTTCTTTCATCCAGTTAAAATATTGAGCTATTGATTTTGCTTTTGTCCTCACATTGCCAATTCTGTCTAGAGCCTTCTGAACAATTAGATTTAAAATATGAGCAAAGCACCCGATATGTCGCCACTTGCATAGTTGAATGGCTTTAAAAATGTTTGCTGCATTGTCTGAAGCTATTGACGCTACTTTTGTTTTAATGCTCCATTCTAAAATGATGGCAAAAAATCGGCAAAGATTTTTAGAAGTGTGGCTGATTGGGAATGATCGGCAAACTAACATAAATGAATTGAGGCTTGTTGATTCTTTGTCGATAAAATGAACGGTGACTTAGCTCTCTTTTGGCCTGTGCAGAAATGTTAAGATCTTTGGCTACACATTTTGCACAGCAACCACAATGTCGTCATCGATTTCGCGTGTTACGGGATGAAGTGCTGCTGGATGCTTACTCTTCAAATATCAGGACAAATTGCTTTAAGATTTGCAGCTTAAAATGGACTCGCAAAATTTTCACTGGGCTTGCTGGTTTCCCAAATCATTAAAATATTTCCAGATGTCCCTAAACTTTCATATACACGACATACATATGTGTTGTTTTTTACAATTGTTAACAGATTTGGCGGAAATGGAAACGTTAAAGTGCAAAGCAGATTTCAAATATACGCAAAAATGAGCAACATTTTGCCCTAACAACTAAGAACAAATACCTCAGTAAAATTGATAAATGTGCAACGTGTTTTTCTTGATTATAAAAAAAATATTATATACATTTGTAATATAAGTTAACTTTTTTATTAATATAGTATCGTGCCTCCTTTTTGCTTATCTAATAATTTCAATCCCTTCGGCATTAAATTTGCCAAGTTTTGGAGGACAGCTATATCAATGGATGCCCATTCATTAACAATGGCCGCCTTTAATTCCTTAACACGTTCTACCCGGCGTGGACCACTGGTGGTCCACGGGCAATTCGTTTATCGGAGTGTACCACCTGTGGTTCACAGCCAAGTTCATTTATCTGGCGGCGTGTACCACCAGTGGTACACAAATATTCATACTTTTAATTCAAAACTATACTAGAATGTATCTTTCTAGAAAACTAGAAAAACCATACTGGAAGGAAATAAAACAAAATAGATTGGAAATTATAAAATTATATTTATTGTAGGCGTTTATTATTTTTATTTTATTTTTGCAGTTCTTTCTACAGCAAAACAAAATTTATTTATTCAGTTATTTTAAAAAGTAAAAAAAATAATTCTTCTAACTTTGTGTATAAAATTAAAATAATAATAATAAATGAAAATAAGAATGATAATTATCATTATCTGATTATAATCAGAATAAGTCATTTATGTACTTTTTGGAACTGGAACCGCGGCCATAAATACTTATAGATGTGCTATCGCTATGAAACTTTCACCAAAAATCTAGAAAAATATTGTAAACATATGATAAAAAAATTTACCAGATCGTGCCACTATATCCTATAGCTGCCATATAACTGATTGATCGGAAATGGTAAAACTTTGGTGTTTTTGAAGAGAGAAAGCTGAAACTTACTACATATTCTATTTTTGTTGTTCATATTTTTGTTCAGTTGATCTAACCTACCAAATTTCATTAGGATCGGAAGACTATATCTTATAGCTGCCATATAACTGAACGATCGGAAATGACCCAACTTTCGTGTTTTTGAAGATAGAAAGCTGGAACTTGGTACAGATTATATTTTTGGTCAGTTAATCCGACTAGTGACCAAA